CTGAATATAATAATGGAAGACCCACTGAACGATACCAGTGGAGGGTCCTCAAGGAATGTTAAATAGCCCTACCATGTGTCAGGAATTTGTAGATAGAGCCCTATAACCTTTGTGGGAAAAGTATCTATCATCTCTCCTTCTTTATCATTATATGGATGATATTCTTTTGGCAGCACCTACTAAAATGATTTCCAAAAACTATTGGGAGACATCAATGGGCTTCGACCTTCTCTAGGAATTCCTACGTATGCTTTGGAGAATCTATTGGCAACCTTAGAGGGAAATTCACCTCGGGGTAGCCCTCGAACTCTTACACCAGAGGCTGAATTCTAATTACAACCAGTAGAACAGTGAATCTCCGAAGCCGCTATTCAATACTATGATCCCTCCAAACCTCTTCATTTATACATTTTTCATACACCTCATTCCCCCTCTGCCTGCCTTGGACAGGAGGAAGATATTTTAGAATGGCTATTTCTCCCTAACAAACTGACCACAAATATTGACAAAATAGCGGCCTTGATTACTAAAGGACGACATCGATGCCGGCAAATCTCGGGTTTTGATCCTGACGAGATCACGACTCAATTAACTAATAAACAAATTTTGCAAAGTCTTGAATTTAATAAGACATGGCAGATTGCTTAAGCAGATTATATAGGACAATTTGAAAATCATTATCCTGCCTTTAAATAGTTTATGTTCTTAAAAACTACTCATGTACTGCCTTTTTTTTCTTTTTTATTAATTAATTTTTGTTACAGATGTTTGTCCTTTCCCCCCCACTGATTCCCCCCTTTCTCTCCCTCCCCACTCTGTCCCCAGTTTGTTGTCCATGTCCATTGTTCATGCATACATGCATATAAGTTCTGTGGTTTATCTCTCCCCCACCATCCCCTCTTCAGGGAATTGTCAGTCTGTACCCCACCTCCACATCTCTGGAACTACCCCATTCCTCAGACTGTTATGTTCATTATATTCCACAAATAAGTGAGATCATATGATACTTGTCTTTCTCTGTTTGGCTTGCCTCACTCAGGATGATACTTTCCAGGTCCCTCCATGTCATCTCAAAGGATAAGAGATCTTTCTTTCTTACAGCTGCATAGTACTCCATTGTGTATATGTACCACAGCTTTATTATCCATTCGTCTACTGGTGGACACTTGGGCTGTTTCCAGATCTTAGCTATTGTAAATAGTGCTGCTACAAACATGAGGGTACATATATTCTTCCTGATTGGTGTTTAAGGCTTCTTAGGGTATATTCCTAGAAGCGGGATCACTGGGTCAAATGGAAGTTCAATTTTTAATTTTTTTTTGAGGTAACACCATATTGTTTTCCATAGTGGCTGCACCAGTCTGCATTCCCATCAGCAGTGCACTAGAGTCCCCTTTTCTCCACACCCTCGCCAACACTTGTTGTTTGAGGATTTGTTGATGGCGGCCATTCTGACAGGTGTGAGGTGAGACCTCTTTGTTGTTTTGATTTGCATCTCTCTGATGATTAGTGATGATGAGCATTTATTCATGTACTGCCTTTTAACGCTGTCATCCCTCAACCGGTACAAGGGTTGACATTTTTACTGATACCTCTAGTAATGGTAAGGTAGGATATTGGTCTACTGAGTATCAACAAATCATGAATTCTCCTTATTCCTCTGTACAACAAAGAGAGTTAGATGCTAATCTCTTAATGCTACAATTGGCCTAATGACAGATTGAACATTATCAGTGATTCTCAATATGCTGTCTTAACTGTTTCTTTAATTTCCCAGGTTTATTTATCACCTCATCAGAGAGCCTTTACAGAAACTCTTCCTTGACCTTTGTTTTATCTCACAGAATACAGCCTATTTACATCACTCATATTCAATCACACTCTAATTTACCTGGACCGTTAGCCCTAGGCAATCAGGCTATTGATTCCCTACTGATTGCCAACATCCAGAAAGCCTTCCATGAGCACGCCCCACATCATACCAATGCACTTGGCTTACAGAAACGTTACTCCATTTCCCAAAAACAGGCGAGGGCTATTGTTCTCCAGTGCACGCGATATGCTCCTCTCAATGCACCCTCTTCACCTCCAGGATGTCATCCTAGGGGCTTATCCAGTAATCCGATATGGCAAATGGTTGTTACGTACTATGCTCCCTTTGGGAAACTTGAATATATCCATCACACTTTTGACACTGCCTCTCATTTCCAATGGGCAACACCCCTAAATTCTGAAAAGGCGGATGCTGTTATCACTCATTTGTGGCAATGTTTTGCTGTCATGGGGCTGCCACAAGTCCTGAAAATGGATAATACCCCAGCATACGTATCTAAAATACTGCAGAATGTTTCCACCTCTTATTCCGTTGGCCATATCACTGGCATTTCTTTAAACAGCCAGGGACAGGGTATCATCGAACGGGCTAATTGCACTTTGAAGCTACAATGACAAAAACAAAAAGGGGGAGATGGAATAGAATCTCCTCAAAGACAAATATAAAAAGTCTTATTTACCCTTAGTTTTTTGAATCAATGGCAACCCGTGACCAGTCTGCTGCTGTAACTCATTTAAGTAGTTCACCGAAAGCTTTGGATCTCCTACTCCGGGATATTACTGTGCTGTCACTAGAGAAAGGAGTCCTCCAATGGAGACGAGGATTTGCTTATGTTTCCACAGGTAACAGAGGTGAACAGCTACCTGGGGCTGCACAGGGTCAGACAGAGGACAAGGAGCCAGCAAAGGGACCACAGAGAAGGAGTCATGAGGTCACAGAGCTATACACCCAGCCTGCTCCCAGATGGGCCACTAACATAGGGGTGGGGTGAGGTGCCAGGTCATCCAGTGTGGATTTCAGTCCTTCTCACGCCTGACCCTCACACCCTCCCAGCCTAATCCTCCCCCATCATCTCCTCAAATCCCTCTACCCCCCTCCCTTAGGGCAACAGTCTATTTCTCTCACAGAGGGGCTCTTCCTGGGCGTCCACAGCTGGGATGGAGCTGGGGGAGGAGACTGGAGTTAGGAGCAGAGCAGGGCCATGGGCAGTGGGCTCTGGGGTTTTCGAGACAGGAATAACCTGATCTGCAGGCCTCTGTTTTTCGGCTCTGGGTTTTCAGCCCCTGTAGGAGGTTAGAGGTCAGCCCCACTCTGGGCTGGTCAAGAAAGACAGGCTCAGACCTGGGAGGGTAGAAATATAAACCCCTCCGATGCAGTACCAGGGAAAAGAAGGAAACCTTAACACACACTGTGCGTATCTTTCGCAGATCATGAGATTGAAAACGATGAAAGATTAATTAATCTGTATATCTGTGCGGACATGGAGTGTTTTCTCTTTCGATGTCCTGATGTGAGATTCTGGAGAAATCTTTTTTTTTTCTCAGCTGACCTTCCCCATCGATTAGGTTTTCCTGTGGCAGGTACTCTGAGTTCCTCCTTCTGAGACCTAGTCACCCCATTCTCTGCTCACAAGACATCCTGCCTTTGCTCTGGTGCTGGTGTCGGAGAAGGGGGAAGAGGAGGAGAAAGAGCAGCAAAATGAGGGCCATAGAGACCCCAATCAGGATGGATAGGTACCACGGGAGACCTTGGACATAAGTCACATCATGAATGAGCCAATGATGTCATTTACTGAGCACCTACTGTGTGTGAGGCACATGCAGGAGTCTGTCAATCACCCTCTCCCTGCACAAAGTCATGCACCAAGAATGGCTGACCCACCACCCAGGTCACTGAGGCTCGGAGAGGTGAGTCATGTGCTCCAGGTCACCCAGCCTGGATGGGGCAGGGCTGGGGCTGGAACCCAGGACTGTGGGTGCCCTGTGCTCTCCTCATGCTGCCCCAGATAAATGTGAACTTTGTGCTCTGGGCTTCTCATCTGAAGAGGTCTATCCGTATTTTATCTGAGCTGAGAGTCCTTCCTTATTCCCCACCCCCAGCACAGCAGGGACACAAGACCAATAGGGGTGTGGGGTGGAATTCGTTTCTCTCCCAGAATCTATGTCCACCCTGCAGGACCTGGACATCCCCTTGGGAAGGTGGGGCTGGGCTGGGGCTCTGCCTTCCTGAGCTCTGCGGGCCCCCTTATGTCACCTGATCTGACAGCAGCCTGTGAGCAGGAGGGGACCAGGGATGGACAGACATGACCCAACACTCAGGGAAGGGAAGGGACCACCTGACCCCCCGGAGGAGCAGCAGAGCTGGGAACTGAACCAGGTCTGACTCCAGCCCTCTCTCCTCTGAGCTGAGCCTGGGCTGAGGGAAAGGACCTGGATGCCCCAGACCCTTGTCCTGCCTGCCCCTCCCTGTGCATGTCACCATCACTGCTGCAGAGCAGACAGTCCCCACACCATGTCCTGGGTGTCTCTGTGAGGTCCCCTCCCCCAGGAGGTCAGAACCAGAACTGAAAGGAAATCTAAGCTCTGGGCCATGAATCTCTCCTTTTACACTTGGGGACCCTGAGGACCAGACAGGGGAAGGGCGCATCCAAGTCAGCATGTCTGAGGGGCCTGAACCCCTCATGACAAAACCCTTATCAACCATGGGGTGAAGAGTGAACCCTCAGAGACTCTGGAGCCCTGTGGTTCCCCTGAAATCCCTCCCCAACTCCCAGCCCCTGGGGGAATCACAGATCCTGGCTCAGCCCAGATGGTAGGTTTAGAGAGGGGCCCTGGTAGGAATCAGAGGCTGGGTCCTAAGACATTCCCACCCCCAGGTTCTAGCTCTCAGTCCTCCATGTGCCCATCTGTCAGACAGGTCTGCTGTCTTCCTTCCCCAGCTATGCCCGAGGAGCTGTGCCTTGTTCCCAGAAAGTAGTGGGACCTGGGACACCTGGGGACAGACTCACCTGCCTGCACTCTGGTCCTCAGGCCCACGCTCAGCCCTGGAAGAGAGTCCCTGTGAGAGGTTCGTCCTGACCCCTGACAGGAACCCTCCTTCCTGTGAGCCTGCTGAGATTCAGGAACTTCTGACAGAACAGGGCTTCCCCTCCCCCATCACATCTCACCCAGGCAGAGCAGGGCGGCGAGTGTGGGGGTCATGACGTCCTGTCCCTCTGGGGTCAGCTGTGCAGATGGAAGGGACCACGGAGCCAGAAGGATGCCAGACAAACCACCGACTGTGGTCATTTGTAGGTCGCTCATGCTGGTCACGGGTTGTCACATCGGCAGCCTTCAGGTGAGAGAACAGCCTCTCTTCTTCGGCCTGGCTCGCACTTTTATGATAAAGCAGCAAATAGACACATAGCTTTCTGAAGATGCCCCTTGCGAGTGAGGTGACCCAGGGCACGTCCTTCCTTCTCAGAGCCTCCTCCATGGGGTCCCCTGCATCTTCAGCCCGTCCATCACCCCTCCCTGCGGGGTCCTCACCATGGACTCAAATCCCTGCAGATGCTTCAGGAAGACGTGGGTTCCTGTGGCGGGCAGAGCTCAGAGCAGCAGAGACACGTTCACCCTGGAACTGAGCAGGGCAGGCGAGTGTCCCTCTGACAATCAGCACAGAGGAGAAATGCAGGGAAATGAGGAAATGAAAGACAACCCTCTGTGGCCCAGAGTGGGAGGTGTCTATCCACGCCCTCCATTAACTTCTTCTTTTCCTGGAACAGCATCCACCCCAGTTTCCTGGGGGTAAGGTCGCGACTCGTTCTTCCTCCACGGTTCCCTGTTCCGAAGCAGAGCTGTGCCCCCCTCCTCTGGACCTCTCTTTGGCTTCAGGGGTCAGTGAGGGGCTTGGTGTTCTCATGTTGGGAACACGGCTGATATTTAAATATTTTACGATCCTTCCTTGTCTGTGTGACCTTGAGCAGCGATGTCCAATCTCTGAGGTTCACGTTTCTCAGGTGTAGCAGGTTGTCATGAACCCCAGTCCTCAGCATGTGGTGGGATCTGTGGTGTCCAGGACAAGGGAGGGCAAAATCCTTGCTAATTTCCAGACCTGATTAAGTTGTGTGAGATGAGACATACAAGATCGATGTATTTTACATCACAATCAGATTAGACAACAGATGTATCCACTCAAGATCTCAAATCCATCCCTACCACTGGAAAATGCTGTTTATAATATTTCTAGAACATGTAGCGGTCATTGGTGGAAGTAGGATTCTTGGGGTGCTGCTGGAGCAGGATATCTGGAGGTCCCCAAGGGAGGAGGATAAGGTATTACAGAAAGGTTTATTTCTGTGGAATGACACCCCTGAGTCTCCAGGCTCCCTCTCCCGCCTGCCTGTCAAGGAAGAGGTCCCATTTTGCTTCCAGCAGGGTTGAGATCGCAGCCAGCGTCCAGACGTCCCACTCCGTGTCTCCACTGTCCACTGTAGCATCAGGCCAGCTTGACTTGTGTTTCCAGCTGCAGTCCATCTGTGCTTTGAGTGTGGGGTCAGCAGGGTCCGCCTCACAAAGGGAACACAGGCAGGAGGAGCAAAGCCAAAGGACCCAGAGACCCCAGAGAGGGAATTGCATTGTCTAGGGGAATATGTATTCCCAAGTTTTCACGGGCTTCCATTGGCTGTGCCCAGTAAGGCCAAGGACCTCTGTTCCCAGATTCGACTCACAGCAAACACCTTCTCTGCCACTCCAACGTGACAGTGAGTGAGCCCACCTCACACTCCGACGAGACCCTCCCCCACTGGGTAGTCTGCAGGAGGACCAGTTCCCAGGGGAGAGCAAAACCGCAGCTTCCTGGTGAAGCTGCCCAGAGGGTGTGCCCGTAATGTCTGGCTTCCCCCTCTGGCTCCTTTCCCATTATTAATAACTAGTTCATTTCAACGGTATCATAGTCACAGTCAATACAGACAAAAAGAAATGAAAGTTCTCCAAATTGAGAGGAAACCAAACAAATAAAATAGGTCAAAGGGGAGCCCTGGCCCATTTGGCTCAGGAGTTAGAGTGTTGGCCCGTGGACCAAAGAGTCATGGGTTCGATTCCAATCAAGGTCATGTATCTCAATTGTTGTTTCTCCCTGGCCCTGGTCACATTCTTGTAGAACGCAATCAATCGATGAATCTCTCACACTGACATTTCTCTCTCTCTCTCTCTCTCTCTCTCTCTCTCTCTCTCTCTCTCTCTCTCTCCCCCCACTCTATCTGAAGATAAATGGAAAAATATCCTTGGGTGAGGATTGAAAGAAAAAAGAGGTCAAAAAGAGTGACCATGAGTGCCAGCCAGTGGCCATCTGAGTGGAGTTTTACACCTCTGTGTGGACAACAGAGGGACCCCACCTCCCAAGCAGGGAAGGAATTTGAGACAAGGTATTTAAACAGGACTGCCCCCTCTCTCATGTTGGGAATGGGCCTTGGAGTATCTCCATCCACTGAACCCACCCACGATCAGCACTGAGCTGTGTGTGTGTGTGTGTGTGTGTGTGTGTGTGTGTGTGTGAGAGAGAGAGAGAGAGAGAGAGAGAGAGAGAGAGAGAGAAAATTCAATCGGTCTAGTGCAACATGGGTATTTGTCCAGGTGGGAGTGTCAAGCACACGTAGGAGCCATCCCTATCGGGAACATCACAGTCAGATGCCGCATTTGGAGAGCGAATGCTGCACCTCTGCATCTCCTTCAGACCACGACATCAAAAACCCTTCGGAGAATCGGGCATGTGGGAAATGGGAGCACAACAGGAATGGATATCAACGAGTGCTCCTACTTACAACAAATACTGCTAACAAACCTACCCACAGAGTCCTTAGTGGGGGTAATCACATCTGAGAAAACAGAATACTAAGAATACAGGAAACTTACTTTAATTGTTTTTCCTTGAATTTTAGAGAGAAAAGAAAGGAGAGAAACAGAGATATAAAAACACTAATGAGAGAGAACATCGATTGGCTGCCTCCTACATGGTACCCACTGGATATTGGGCCTATATCCTGGGCATGTGCCCTGACTGCAAATCAAACCAGCAACGTCTTGGTGCATGGGTCAACACTCAACCACGGAGCCACAGAAAACTTATTTTAATTTAAGGCTGTTGAAATGTCTTAGAATATGAAGGATAAATTTGAATTATTACAACAGTCACAGGGCTTATATTTATAAAGGCGGAGAGAATTTTATAAATGAATTACACAAATATCATAGAAAAAAGTAATAAAGATAAAAACATAATTTGATGTAACAGTCTCAAAATAGTTCTTCACCACAGAGAAGACACAGCTGAAGACACAGCAATGCATCCGATGACAACACCGAGGAAAGTTTGTAGGAGACAATACAGAGAGACTGGAATTAGAAAATTTGGATACGTGGAGAACAGAGAAAGGGAGACCAATGGATGTTGTGATTTTCAGGAGGCAATCACTGAGGATGATGACTACCAACAGTCCCAGGGGCCAAGGATTGAAAATTTTGCAGAGAAACAGAGGGAACAGGAAGTGTTAGGAACATGAACATATAAATGAAATGTGTGTCTTGATATCTATGGCAAGTGGAGGAAATTGATAGGAGCTGACTTTCAAACACAAAACAACACTAAAGACAAGAGGAAATGCACTCGTGAATGTAATTGTGAGTGAAGAGGGAAAAAGCCCTCAGGAAGAGGACTCAATGTGAGCTTGCTCTAGACCATGCCCTTGACCCTGTTCAGGCACACTATTTGTACTCCTTCCTAGACTCTCAGGATCCCCACCACACTTGCAACCAAAGGAGCCGTGGGAAGTGGCAGCCTGTCCAGGCGAATCCCCTGAACCAGCCTCCAAGGACCCCTTTCCCTCTGAATTCCCAGGGAGCAAAGCAGACCCACCTTGGCTCCCCGCATTCCTACAAAGATTCTAGGGAGCCAAAGCAGAGCACCACCCAGGCTGTCTTCTGCTGCTGCTTCTAACCGATGTCCTCCCCTTGCTTCCCGGTCCCCAGATTTCACAAACGTACTCTCACAATCACCGGGACTCATATTGTGAAGTGTCTCCTACACAAAGTCCAGAACCCACACACGACAGGCCAGATTGAGGCAGACACAGTCCAGGCTGGTCCCTGTCTGGTAACAACATGAACACCTTGAAGTTGGCCATAAAGGAACCATATATACCAGAGAAATGCAAATGCCAAGAACCGGGGTTGTGCTCATTAACTTTATTGGGGTGCCATTGCATAATAGACTTCTACAGGTGTGAGGTGTACACTCTATAACACACATCGGTACACTGCATGGTATTTAGAACAATGGGTTTCAGAGGCAGCACAGCCCAGCGGAGCCCTTCAAACAGTAAAGTCTTGATTCCAAGAGATCAGATTTCTGAGGAAAGTACACAGGGTGCATCTGAGGGAAAGCAAAGGGTGGGTGGAGTTCAGAGAGGGCTCTAAACCATGATTATGATTTATCTCCTGTGGGATAGATCTTGCTTATACACCTATAGATTGATTAGAATGGATGGCTCTGAACTGAGCAGATGGAAATTCTGTAGGTCCATCAAAGTTTGTGTGATTAGAAGTCATGGAAAACCTATTCCATGAAGGTGTAGGAGGTGTGGACCCAAATCAGCCAAGTGAGACAAATGTCCATTCTCTCATAAGGGGGAAAGTCAGGACCCATCAGTGGACTCAGCAATGGTGGGGAAGGAAGTGTACACAGTTTAAAGGAAAAGGTACCAGACATTCTCCCTGCACGTGGACAATGACTGCTCCCCCTGCAGTGAGCTGCACACAGGTCACACCGCATAGGTCCCAGATTCTCTTCCAGAGCCTTCTGGGCACATGAGATTCATTTCCAAGGCGACCCTCTATGAAGGTGCGTTGTTTCCTCTGGTGTTTATACCCCAGTCGCCTGGTGGGTCCTTGTCTGGCTGTTTCGAGCCTCAAACAGCAGCACCCCGAGCACCACCAGGACCAAGCCGGCCACAACCAACCGGATGAGGTTCTCCACTGTGTAGTCTAGGGGGTGGGAGGCTGGGAATTGTGAACAAAGAGGTCAAAGAGGTCAGGGCAGGCATAAGTCATCCCAGAGTACTGGATGTCCACCCAGGTCACCCACAAAACCTTGAAAGGTCACAAGCATCTGCATCGACCCACATAAATGTGACTTTGAAGTGTCCTGTGATGGGCTGATGGTGCCGATGCTCCTGAGAACCACAAAGAAGTGGGGCTGTGTGAGGGGTTGATGCCACTTACACCTGTGGTCCCCAGAACCCTCCCACTTCTCATGACGTGTCTGCTACCAGTCCCTCAGGAACCCTTTCTCTGCTAGAGAAGGACCCTGTCAGTTGTCACAGGTTCTTTCCGACTCCTGTGCCTTTGGAGATTAGACTGCGGAACACAGCTTGGTTTTGCTAGAGAATTCAGGATTGGTGAGAAATACGGTCTCTCATAGCAGAAAATAAAGAGTTCTTGAAATGTCTCAGCTCATTATGGGATACTGAACTACAGAAGCTAAGCCTTCTGGATAGGAGAGTTTATGATTTTACAACAGCTGAGGACCTAGCATCCATGGGTTGATCTCAAATGTACATACATGCACATATGTAGGACTTGAACAATTCTTGAGCTATAACTAGGGGCAATTTTATGAACAAAATTTCAAAATGTGCCTGAAGTTAAAAATGAACCCTCTGAGGCTTTTTTTATACAAAACTTCATACAAACAAAAAGTTATTCTTCATAATAAATGTATAAATGTAATATAGT